TGGTGCTGGAGAAGAGTGTTGAATATACCATGGTCTGCTAGGAGAACAAACAAGTTCATTCTGGAGAAGGTGAAGAGGAAAGGGTGAAGCCAGGCTGCTCCTTGGAGGCTAGGATTCTGAAGCTCCGTCTGACATAGCTTGGACATGTTACAAGGCGAGTCACTCTGTCAAACCCATCTTGCCTGAGGGTCTTATTTTATCTAGATGGTCAGCTCTCCAACTCATTTAAAAACCTTTTGCAGCACATCAAATTCACCAGGTGAAAGCCCCTAGCTCAGTTATTCCTTTAGTACCAGAGCTGGAGGAAATGAGATTGGAACGGCTCGCCCTTTTTAGCAAATGCTTCTTGTTTGTTGCTCATGATCTGCCTTCCACAGAGAAAACCCAAGTGTCTTCTTTCCCATTTCACAATGTGTATGCAGAGCCAGTGAGGAGGATTTTATTTCTTTATTTTACTGAACTCGAACAGTTTGGGTTAAGAGTGTAGCTTGTCTAGCTCGTCTGTCACTGTTTGCTGCTGTTGTTGAAACTAAGGGGTGGTTCTCTTCACCCCTTCAGCATTGACTGACTAACTCTGTGATCTTAAAGCTGAAAAAGTGGACACCATTTAAAGAGATCTTTTTTTTCTTTAAAAGTAAAACAAAACCCCAAACCCCCTACTTTTCTTTCAAGAACTTCCTAGAGAACATTTAGAGTCTTTTAAAAACTTCTCTAAAGGGGACTGACATCAGGGTTGGGGTAAGACTGAGAAAAACTGGATAAATTATGTATACTGCATTGAAACAGATGAGGGCGAGAACAGTTTAGGGTATTATGTTTACAACAAGAGTCCAGAATGAAGGTTGCATAGTGGAGTGTACTTGGGGCAGGGGGGATTATATACCAATGAAGGAATTTTTCTTTTACTTTTCAAAGAGAAAAGTGAACTGGGGGAAGGGGAGGGGTGGACAGGGAGGAAAATGCAACAATGAATGAATGGAAATCCAAAAATCTCTGTAAATGTTCATTAAAATAAATAAATAAACTAAAATAAAGTTATCCAGAAAAAGATATTCTTTGAAAACAAATTTTAAGTAATATGTCAGAAAAAAGATAAGAGTAAAAGCTATATCCCATGCAAACGTTATACACATTACAAAACTATACTGATTAAAGTGCAATTGGTTATAATTTTTAAAAACTTCTCTAAGACATTGCTCTTGGAAGAATTCAGTTATACTTACAGTAATTTTTGCAGCTACATCAATAGAGTAGCTTACATCTACGAAGCGGGAAAGCAGTAATTGGTTGAACTTAGATCACCTTGAAGCCTATAATTCCTTGATCACGTGGCTAGAATCACAAATTACATTGCTCTGTAAACAACAGAAGTACCTGAGCAGAACAAAAGTAGGATACTGAACAGGAAGATAAAGGTGCATTGTCTTAACTGTGGGCCAATTACTTCCTCAGATGTCACCTGATTATAAGAAGCAAGACAGGGCTGGGGTGGGGCCTCTAGAGCAGAATGTAGTGACTTAGAATAACACATACACAGGAAAAGGCCCTTTCTGAGTTCTAGCTCCCAATAGTAAAGAATCCTGTGCGCTGAGGGCCTCAGTGGTCATCATGAATAGAAGGCAAGTTCAAGATGTATGGGCTTCTGGAGTTAACCTTGAAAAGTGCTCTGATCTCCTCAAATAGAATAATCTGGTACAGTTTTCTGAGAAAACATGAGGCTTAATTTTGTCTTCCCCAAAGGAAAAAAGGAAAGCCCTGATTCTGTCTTCGTCTTTTCTTTCATTCAGCATTTCACGGAAAGCTTTCCTCCAAGATTCAGGCAAGCTTCTCTTCCACACGATTTCACGTCGGAGACCATTCAAGACACAGAAGAAGAGAATTATTATATTAGCCCCCGGAGTGTTCTTTTAGAGGTAACTCTTTGCATCCTTCCATCATTCGCTCTTTCAGCAAATATGGAGTGAGCCCCCACCGGGTGTCACCTCTGAGACACGAGGCGGGGTCTAGTGTTTATCTACTCAGGATTAAGTCACACAGATGATGAACTCACAGTGCCAGCACTTGAAAAAGAGACAGTCATAACAGGAACGCATGAGGGATGGCTGGTTGGGGTGGGAGACTGATTTCCAGTCAAGAAGACCAAGGAAGGAAATGACATTTTCTTTTATTTGAATCATAGCCAGAATCTGATCCATTCAAATTCAAGGAGATGATTTCCATTACAAGTGGAAAGAATAACATGGACCAAAATTCTTGGGTGATGAATTGTGTGGCCCCAATCAATCCATCTATTCATTAACTGGAAGTCTGTCTTATGTACTGATGCTAGGGTAACTTATTAAGTGTGAGAGCTACAATTATGAGCCTGGCAAAGCTCCTAACTGTCTTCAGAGGCTCACCAGCTTAGCAGGCTTAGAACTCACCAGCTGAACATGTCACACACAAGCATGGTCAAAGGGCTTTGGAGAACCATTTCTCTGGTCACAGGAGTCAGAGAAGGCTGCAGAGAAAGGTGACCCTTGAAATACACATGGTGCATAATGTGGTTGGGACCTTGAGTGAATGAGGGGCTGCAGTGGGAAATGAAGCAGAAAATTAAAAAAAAAAAAAAGCAGGTCATTAAGGATCCTGAATCTGAAGAAAGTGACTCTATTTTGCAGGAAATTATCTCCAAGTACTATCACCAGCTCAAGGAGCTTGGACGGCACAGTGGTCAAGGTCTCGCCTGTTGAAGCTTAGTAGTTCAAACCTGCCAGGTTCTCCATGGTAAAAAGATGTGGCAGTTGGTTTCTGTTAAGATTTCAAGCTGTGAAAACCCTATCAGCCAGTTTCACTCTGTTCTGCGGGGTCACTAGGAGTTTGAAATGTTTTGACAGCAATTAGTTTGGTTTTTGGTTTATGCATGGGTGAATTTTCACTAGCCGGCCAGGATGCGTTCATTACACAGCATGTCCAAATCTCCTTTGACCACTGTACTCTACTCAGTCCAGAAATACCTCTCACACGAGTGTTTCCTGGAATACTCTGATGGCAGCTAGGCCTTTGTGGTAATCTATCCACTCTGATACATACTGAGTACCAATTATATGGTAGGTACTTTACAGAACACTAGTAGGTGGGTGCTATTATGAAGCTAAAAGGTAAAAGAGTGAAATAATGATGATAAAGTTTGGGAAAGCACAGATGACCAGCAGCAGCTGAAATTCGGATGAGGGTAAGGGACATCAGCTACATCCAAACACAATTTCAAGAGGCAAAAGTGAAAGGAGCATCCTGGGAGAAGGGACTAGCACTAACACAAGCCTTAAAATACCAGCTCTGATAGGTGGAGCGAGAAGACTCTCACCTGGAACTAAGGGTTCAGGTTGCAGGTTCATGATGAGTTTGTTATGACAGGCCTTGATTATTTGTTAGCAACTCTTGCCCCAAATGACCATCTTGGACCTATGGAGAAATTGAGGCTTCATGGGCAGTATTTTATTTTAATGATGGCTAGAATTTGATCCATTCAAATTCTAAGAGGTGATTTCCATTACAAATGGAAAGAATAACATGGACCAAAATTATTGGGTGATGAATTGTGTGGCCCCTATCTATCTGTCTATTCATTAACTGGCAGTCTCTCCTTTGAGTGCAGTATTTTCTAAGGTCCCCGGAGTCTGAGCCCACCCAGACCACCACATCATATTACCATGGAGAACCTGATGGTTCCAGTTAACAGCCAAGAACTTAACCACTGTTCTTGTGAAGCTGCCTGTGAGCAGACCAAGGAAATAAGTTCATGCCAATAAGTGCCCAGAGATGAAACAGAAAGGTAAATAGTGATTTGGTCCAACAGAATACTTGTATCAGGAGGAACAAGAGGATCTGAGAGAAGAAAATGGATTTTAGGTCCCCCCTAAACTGCTGCTTACAGTAGGTGAGTTGTGGTTGTTGTTGTTATGTGCCATCGAGTCGTAGGTGACTCATAATGACCCTATGAATGAAAGTCCTCAATACTTGTGTGACTTTCATCCTTTCTCCAGGTTCATAGGGTTTCCAGAGGCAAACTATTACAGAAGTGGATGCCGCTCCTGCTTCCAAGCTTGTTTTAATCAGGGAGCTCCACCAAACACTGTCTACCATGGGTAACCATTAATGCATTTGACACATCAGTGTCACAGTGTTCAGCTTCACAACAACCACAAGTTACCTCTGTACAGCAAGTGGACACACCAAGGCTATACAACCTAGAAGAATGTTTGAACAAAAACAATGAAAAATAGGCCTGAGGGCCGTGGATCAGCAGGAAGTAGCTAAGAGAATACACCATCCCCTTTTCCTTATGAATCAGGGTGAAGTCTCTCTCAGGGAGGAGTGATAGGGAATGGCAAGGGACACACTGACAAAGGAGATTAATCAGAACTGGCTTTGACAAGCACTGTGGCAATTGGACAATTAAAACAGACATTGGCGGGGGGGGGGAAGAAGAACGAACTGGGGAGGAGGGTGGAGAAAGCAGGGCAACAATGAATGAATGAAAACCCAAAATCTCTGTAAATGTTCATTAAAACGAATACAATTTAATAAAAATTTTTTAAAAAGTCACTCACCTTTGGCTTGATAGCATGACTTTCTGTCCAGTAGGCCAACTGATCATTCTCTATGTTAATGTTACTGTTGTTAAGTGTCTGAGTGATATTCCCTGAATGAGCACAACTGCTCAACAATGGAGGACGGACTTGCTATCCCAGAGCCCAGCTTCAGAATGTAAGGATGGCGTGAAAGAAACTAAGGACCGTGTGGGATAAAAGTCATCGGGCTTGGCGGGTACACTGCTTCCTTACATCTATCTTCCTGTCCACAGCTGGATAAGATCATCGATGCCAATGACACCGATGGAGCCGTTGAAACTGCTGGCTCAGCCAAGGCCTTCAAGAGAACAGAAAATCCTTACATGTCAATGAAATCCTGGTAAGTAAAGCTTACGCTCACACACTCTTGTAAGGAAACTTTGTGGCCCAGTGGGTAACATAACAGACTGCTAACCAGAAAGTCAGCACTTCAAATCCACCGGCTGCTCCACAGAAGAAAGATGGGCAGTCTCCTCTCACAAAGCTGTGCTCTCTCAGAAAGCTTACGGAGGGTCACAAATGGGTCAGAACCGGCCCAGAGAAGTCAGTATATATACACATACACACAGGTAGACATATATCACCTAATAGCCAATCTCACGTGGTAGAACAACCACCATGAGTTATTTTAAATATCTAATATACGAGCTCTGGTGGCCTAGTGGCAGGAAACTGCACTGCAATCCCAGAGGTGCGTGGTTCAAATCCACCAGATGCTCTGCTGAAGAAGGAGGAACAATCGCCTCCTGTACCAGTCAGATCCAATTTGACGGTACACACATAAAAAAAAAATAATCTAATATACTAGTTGGAAGGAGGAGTGGCATCCACTTCCGTAATATCTTGCCTTCGGAAACCCTATGAACCTGGAGAGAGGATGAGAGGCACCCAAGCGTCGAGGGCTCTCCTTCATAGGGTCGCTATGAGTCGCCTGTGACTCGACAGCGCTTAACAACAACAACAACAATATACTAGTGAAAACATTACTACACACTAAGTGTAGCATATCATTTAATGATCTCAGAACAAGAAAAAGTGGCAATGGTTCCCTCACCCACCTACCAAGAACCATTAGAAAAGCCTCTGGACAATTTCTATCTCCTGAGAAAGTTGTTTTTGCAGTGCAGATTCTTGCCCTTTTTTTTTCCTTACTGTATACCTTTGAGTCAAACCCGACTTGCACAGGAGGAGACTGCCTCTTCCTCTCCAAGCAGAGCATCTGGTGGATTCGAGCTGCATGCCTTCAGGATTGCAGTGCAGCTTCTTGCCACTTGGCCACCAGAGTTCCCTGAGAAAGCTGGGTTTGATTTTGCATTTATGTCTATCAGTTCTGTCCTCTAAACGCTGCCCCATGTGAAGTGTTCTTTTGATTCTCCATCCATTTCTAGAAGGAAAATTCATTGGATCTGATTCTAGTTGTGGCTGTGATTCTGATGGTCAGGCATCCTTTAAGACTGACAGCTTTCACATGGCTATGAGCTACTTAATTCTGATTCACACAAGGGCCAAGCTGTAAGTGAATGTAACTTTCTATATGCTAGTGTTTCCAAAGAGACGCCCCACCAGTTGGCTGAGAGCAAAGAAGCAGCCCAGGCCCTTCCAGAAACCCAAGATGGGGGACTTCACCTGCAAGAAAAAGGCTTAGAAAATGACTCGTGTCTGTCACCTGCCAGTTCAGAAGCAAAGACTGTGGATGACAAAAAGAGGTCGACCTCACTAACTCTGGTGCAACTGTCTATACTAATCAAGTAAAGTTCTAATTCCTAAGACCTCATGGGTTCCCAGGGCAAGGCATGCTTCTGATTGTACTCAGTATTCACATTTCAAAACCATTCCTAAAAAGCTCCACGTTGGCCAAGAATACGAGCAGCTTTTCCCTTTCGCTAAAGTCATGGCCAAGGACATGAACAAGAGAACTGCAAGGATGTTTCCTGAAAAGTTGTCCCTTGGCCATAAGCAACCAGAGTAGAATGCCATCCAGACCGTACTGTGAGCATAACTGAAGGCACACAAGTTGCATGCAGATGAATTGGTTTTAAGTGGTAACATGAGCATATGATTTTGACTCTTTTAGTGTAATCTCTTAGAAAAATAATTTTTAGATATATATAGATATATACATAGATAGATATACATATACATACATATATATATATATAGGTTGGTTTTGTTGTTGTTAAGTGCTATAAAGTCTTAGATGACCCATAGTGACCCTATAAACAAAAATCTTGAACACAAACTTTCTTCTTTGCTCCAAGTTCATAGAGTTTCTAGAGGAAAGCTTTTCTGGGAGTGGATGCCACTCCTGTCACAGAGCTTGTTCTTTTTGGGGAGATCCACAAAAACTAAAAGCCTTTTAAAATATGAGACCAAATCCAATCAGCTCACACCTGCTGTGAGCAAAAGCCACACCCTAGTCTCAACCCCAAACCAGAAAACATAGGTATATATATCTATATATATCGATGATAGATATAGATATATATTAGATAGATGATAGATAGATAGATAGATAGATAGATAGATAGATAGATAGATAGATAATAGAGCGAGCACTCTGGTAGTGTAATCTATAGAGGGGGTGCACTGCCAACCCAAAGGATGCACCTCTTCGGTGGTTCAAATCCACCAGTGGCGTCACAGGAGGAACGTACTTTAGAGTTCCAGGAAACCTGCTGGAGGGTCAGTTATCAAGTAGATGATGTGGGGGGAGGGGGGACCGACCCATAGCTGACCCTCCAAGAGTTTTCAGAGGCAGTTAATCACAGGGAAAGAAGCAGCTGGTGTATTTGAACTGCGTGCCTTCAGGATTGCAGTGCCGCTTCCTTCCAGTAGGTCACCACACTGACTTGAGAGAATGTAGTGAATTTAGTTCCTTTTAGTTCCTTGTCCAATGTCTATGTCCTAATGAGGGAAGGCACTCACAAGCAGTCTTAAGTAACTTAAGTTGCTATTTTCTCTAAATGTTTAGGCCCATGTTATGATAGGAAAATGCAACCTCAAATGTAAGAAGCCATGAGTTTACTTAGAATCCAGCAGTTCAACTCCTGGGTATATAGTGCAAAGAAATAGAGACTCAAATAGATACCACTTGTCCACCAATGTTCATTAAATACATTATGTTCAATGTTCAATGTGCATTAAACACAACAGCTGCAAGGCAGAAACAAACCAAATGTCCATCTATGGACGAACAGATTAACAAAATACGGTATAAAGATACAATACAATATTATTTCACCATGTAGTGGTGGTTGTTATGTACCATTGAGTCACCTAAGACTCATAATGACCCTACGGACACTAGCTCTGAAGCCTGCCCTATCCTGAGCCAATCTCACTGGCTCTGACACACCTAACCCCATTTCTCAAGTCTCTGAGTCAGTCCATCTCATCCTGGGTCTTCCTCTCCAGATGCTGGGACATAGATGGACTTTGGAAACATTATGCTGTATGAAATAAGTCAGCTATGAAAGGACAAACATTCTATGATCTCAATTTGAAATGTCTAAAATAAGCAAATACATAAAAGTAGATCAGGGGTTCCCACAGGGTGAGGGAATGGAAAGTCATTGCTTAATGGATACCAAATTTCTGGTTAGGGTGACGGAAAAGATTTTTAAACAAATAGGGCGATAGTTGCACAACATTGTGGAGTGTGATTAATGCCCCTGGACTGTACACTTGGGAATTGTTAAAATGGCATTTTTATGTTGTATATATTTTAGAATTTAAGAGAGGAGGGGAAAGCCAGCAAAACTGCTCACTAGTTCAAGTCCGGGGTCAGTTACCTAATATGACTTCTCCAAATGTCTTATCTCACAGTAACATTCCTGATGAAGGCCAAGTGGAGAAACTGGATGTGTTCCTTTCTCCTCCTGACATCATAGACTATCTCGCTCTCATTGAAGCTGCAGGACGGATATGGTAGGGCAGAGATTTGAATGCTACTGGTTATAAATGGGACGGGAGACAAAGTATTGTATCTTCAACATTCTATTTGATGACATGGCCAGATGGTTGGTACAAGGGGTCTTCCACTGAGGCTGGCAAAAACACAAACATTGTAGTGTGGAAGTGTCACTAAAGAGGTGAGTTGGTATAGGCATACTTCAAAGTCCAGGAAGCAGGAAATACCTGATTTGCAAAGTAGGAGGAATGGGTAATAAGTAAGCGTAGCCCAAGGAAATCAGTCCCCCTCACTCTACACATACTGTAAAATGAGTGAGCCAGTGAAGTCAATAAAAATCAAAGGTCTGAAAAAGGAAAAGCCGTAACAGGGGTGAAGATTTTAAATGCCTTTTTACAATATTGTTGATCAGAAACTCAGATACAAAAGATTGTATGGGAGAGAATATTCTTCAAGTAATCATTGCCTATTTGATTCTACATTCTCTTAGAGTTAGGAGTTTGGTGAGAGATCACATATCAAAGGGTAGCAAATTCTTTAAAGTATGTTACGTACTTGTTTTAGTTAAGAAGTGACACTATCACATTAACAGAAGTGAGTGGCTTTAAGAAACAAAAAATTTCTCAGTTTGTTGTTTTGTGCCATTGAGCGGAATTGACTCACAGCTGACCCTCCAGTGGGTTTTCAGAGGCAGTAAATTGCACGAGAGGAGAGAGCCTGTCCTTCCTTGGAGAAGCTGGTGGATTTGAACAGCACGCCTTTGGGATTGATGCACAGCTTCTTACCACTAGGCACATTCAGGGTACTGACTCTGGAACGAGACTTTCTCTCTGTCAGCTCTGGAGGAAAGTCCTGGCCTTGTGCTTCTGCTCCTGGTCAATCTTCAGATAGCTTGGTGTCTCTTCCCCATCTCTGTTTGCTAGTTTGTATTTAATCACTTTTATATTTCAAGACTGCCAATCTTGTTAGATGTCTTTGAGTGGACTACCCTTCATACTGATCTTATCAAAACAAATACAAATGTCCCGTCCTGCACTTGCCGAACAATCTCTGCCATGCATAAGCCCACCGTTGTAGCCAATGTGTCAGTCCATTTCATTGAAGGTCTTCATCTCTTTTGCTGGCCCTCCGCTCTTCTCTGTGTGGTGTCTTTTCCAAGGACTGGTGCCCCCTCACAATATACCCAAAGATTGTGAGGCGAACTTGCACCATTCTTGTCCCTCAGGAGGATCCTGGTTGCACATCTGCCAATCTAGTTTGTTCTTTTGACAGCCCATGGTGTGTCACATACTCTTCTCCAACACCACAATGCAAAGGCATCAGTTCTTTGGGTCATCCTCCTTAGCTGTCCAACTTTCATATGCATATGAAGCAACTGACTATATCATGGTGTGGACCAGGCCGACTTTGTTCTTTAAACTGACATCCTTGCTCATTAGTCTTTAAAGAGGTCCTTGGCAGTAGATTTGACCAACATAACACGTATTCATATTTTGATTTCTCAACTGCTATGTCCATGGGTGTTGCTTGCAGATCTAAGTAAAATGAAATCATTGACAACTTTGATGCTGCCTATTAGTCCAATCGTGAAGATTTGTTCCCTTGATATTGGGATGCAGCCCATATTGACAGCTATACAGTCTTTGATCTTCTTCAGTAAGTGCTTCAAGTCTTTTTCACTTCCTGCAAACAAAGTTGTGTTATCTGTTTAATGTAGGTTGTTGATGAGTTTTCCTCCAATCTTGATGCCATATTCTTCTTCACATAGTCTAACTTCTCAAATTATTTGTTCAGCATACAGACTGAATAGGCATGAAGAAGGGATACAACCCTGACAGACACCTTTCCTGATTTTAAACCATGCAATATGCCCTTGATTTATCCCTTGCTTCTTGGTCTAAGTACATGAGGACAGTTAAGTGTTCTGAAATTCCCATTCTTCTCAATGTTATCGATAATTTGCTATGATCCATACAGTCCAGGCATAGTCAATAAAGTACAAGTAAAAATCCTTCTGGTATTCCCTGCTTTTTGCCAAGATCTAGCTGACATCAGCAAAAGTATCCATTTCATTGTTCCATGACCTCTTCCGAATCCAGCTCGAGTTTCTGGAAGTTTCCTGTGAATATACTGCTTCAGCCACCTTTGAACAATCTTAGCAATATTTTGTTTATGTGTGTTATTAATTAAACTGATAATTTCCATATTGTGTTGGATCACCTTTTTAAAAAAAAGTAGGTACAAATAGGATTCTCATCCATTCAGGGTTCCACACTTCTTGGCACAGTGGAGTGAGCTTTATCTGTTTGCCAACACCTCAATTGGTATTCTGTCAATTCCCAGAGCTTTACTTTTTGCTAAGGCCTTCAGTACAGATTGGACGTCTTTCTTTAGTATCATTAGTTCTTGATCATATATGCTTCTTCTGAAATCATTCATCCTTTTTGATCCAGTGACTCTATGTACTTTTTCCATCTTTTGATGTTTCCTGCATCATTCAATATATTTTGCCCATAGGATCCTTCATTCAAAATTGCAACTTAAGGCTTGGTTCCCCCACCCCCACCCCGTCCCCTTCCATTCTTTCAGGTTCAGAACTCCAGAGTGTGTTTTTTCCTGTCTCGTTCTCTATTTTCAGGTCCGTGCACATTTCTTATACTTTTATCTTCTCAAGCTCCCCTTTGGAATCTCCTATCCAGCTCTCTTTATCAATCTTTCCCTTTTTGTTATTGTCTCTACGTTGAAGAGTAAGCTCTAGATTGGCTTCTGACATCCATTTTGGTCTTTTCTTCCTTTCCTGGGTTTTTAATGACCTTTTTGCTTTCTTCATGTACATGTCTTTGATGTCATCCAACAATTTGTTGGTCTTCAGTCTTTAGTGTTCAATGTATCAAGTATATTAATGAGATGATTTGTAAATTCAGGTTATATATTTCAGAGAATACTGGCTCCAAATACACTCACACTCATGCTGCTTTGTTAACATAAAAAAGACCACACATGACCAAATGGAATTATAACTGCACGCACAGAAGTTGGGCTTTATAAAGCATAGTTTTGGGGGACAAAATTCAGACCATAAAATTATCAAATGTCTCATAAACTCAAAGAGGACAGAAAGCATACCCTTCCATTATTACAGATTTCTCACAATCTGTCCAGGTTCAATACCTCCTTACCTGCATTTCTTGCTCTCAACTTAATCAAGAATGAATTTGATATTTGTTTATTAACTATTATGCTTAACAATTCTGTGATTACTGCTTTAAAATTGTTGCTGTTCTTCTTCTTAACCACCATTGGGTCGTAGACGACCCATAGCGACCCTATGAATGAAAGTCCTCAACACATGAGTGACTTTCATCCTTTCTCCAGGTTCATAGGGTTTCCAGAGGCAAGCTATTTACAGAAGTGGATGCTGCTCCTGCTTCCAAGCTTGTTTTAATCGGGAAGCTCCACCAAACACTGTCCGCCATGGATAACCATTAACGCACTTGACACATCAGTGTCACAATGTTCAGCTTCACAGCAACCACGAGTTACCTCTGTACGACAGGTGGACACACCAGGACTATACGACCTCTCTTCCAGGCTCAAGAGGCCATATCCACCCAACTGACAGTCTTTAAAATACTTATGAAAAACCTGTTTATATTGAATCATAAGGATATAAAAACTCTTCTAAAAATTAAAAAAAAAAAATATGTATAGTACCGCCCTTCCAAAGTTTCAGTACCTGGTAGAAAAAATGGCCTTACAAACAAGTAAATATAAAATGTCTACAATGTAACAGTGCTCCCATAAGGTACTCATGGTATGAGAGGAGGATGGGGGGAGAAGATACAAATTACATACAGTAGAGGAAGTAGATGGTTTCACGAAGGTGGTATCATGGAGCTGAGTTTGGAGGAAGGTTAGGCTCCAAAAGGGATTGGATAGGAATCACATTCTAGGTAGAGAAAGGCAGCAATCTGGTTTAGATGGGTGCAGCTTGACGAAGGAAACTGCTAACAGCAGAAGCAATGGGCCAGATGGACTGTAGAGCCTGTACACGTCATCTCTGTCCTGTGGTCTCACACTGTTGCTGCGTGCTGTGTCCCACTGCAGTGTGGCCCAGTGGGCAGGCCCCCCGCGCCTAGGATGCTTATTCTGCCATGGAGACCACCTACTGGCCGTGAATGATCTGAAGCCCCGAAACTTGGAGGAAGTCTCCTTGTTTCTCAGTCGGTCCATTCAAAAGGAGGTAAGTGCTGCCTGCTAGCCACGGCTGAGGCACGTCAGGGCCAGAAGGAACAAGATCATGGTTTATACAATGTCTGAAAAGTACTCTGAACACATATGGGATTCTTCCTCAGTCACCAAGTAGAAATAGCATAATGTTATTAAGTCTCTGTCAAAATTCTCTCAGTAATTGGAAAGCACAGTGGGTGAGGAGACAGAACATCTGGGTGGGGGAACATTTGGAAGCAGTGAGATGAGGCAAAAGGGGCCTGCAGTAGAATCCGACAGGATCTGGTTGAATCCCAGCTTCTTCGTCAATCTGGGTCGCAGTGTTTTATCTTCTGTAATGTTGGGCATTATAACACCTCATAGAGTTGTTGGAGTGTTAAATGAGTTAACAGATGTCATGATCTTATGAAAATAAAAGACATATATCAGGTGATCACTATAGTTACTAACTTTTACTTCTACTATTATTGGCCAAGGGATGTTGGAAAAGTTCCCTGTTGGTATTTGTGGGTTTTTAAAAAAAAGTTATTTTATACTTGTTTACATACAAAGTTCATAAAGTTCATATACATTGTTTTTCACACCAGACCTTTCCCCTTTCCTTTACGAGTCCCTCCCTCTACCCATCAAATTGTGCAACCTTATATTAAGTTCCCTGTGTTAAGCCTCTATTTCTCATCTCTGAACTCACAACAGCCATACCTTCCTCACAGAGGTAGTGAGAGAAGTGAAATATGTAGATATCTTCTGCGGATGTGCTTTTTTAGACTGCTAATCATGGGGCCAACTTACTAGTAAGACCTCCAAATTATTAGTTCCTTTCCTGCTTTAAAGAACTCTAGTAGTACAAGGGATTAAGCATTGAGATGAGAGGGGGAGAGAGAGAGAGAGGATTGATCATACCTTTTATGCAGGGAGATTTCCCATAAGTCTCCTTGAAAAAAATGGTTCTTTGGCTTATGATTTCTTTTTATTTTATTTTATTATTTTTGTGTGCCTGTACCGTCAAATCAGATCTGACTGGTACAGGAGGAGATTGTCCCTCCTTCCCCAGCAGAGCATCTGGTGGATTCGAACCATTCGCCTCTGGGATTGTAGTTGCAGCTCCTTGCCACTAGGCCACCAGAGCTCCCTGGCTTATGATTTCTGAACAACAGTAGACTGGATGACTTCCCAACGTCCTTACAACTCTTAAGAGTTTATGTATGTCTTGTCCTTTTTGCAAGGAGCCCTGGTGGCACTGTGATTAAATCTCTTCACTGCAAATTGAAATGTTGACTTCAGTAGATGATGAGGGTTCGGTAGACCATGTAGAAGTGTTTAGCATGTAGAAAGAGCTCAGTGAAGAAAGACATCAGTGTCTGGTTCCACAAAGATTACAACCTTAATGCCAAAGACCCTGTGCAGCCCTATCAGGTCACCATGACTTGGATCCAGCTCTCCAATAGCAAAAGGTTTGGGTTTTGGCGCCTCTTCTGTATTGCATGATAACTTTGTTGGATAGACGAGCTGTCCTATTGCTACTATGTAAACAGGGAAATCCAGTGAAGTTTGGGGGAATGATTAAGATGTACAGTTAGTGAAAGAGCAAGGAGAAAAGCTGGGTATCATTTGCCCACTATTTATCAGACATCCACTCTGTGCTGGCTACGATGGTAAGTTCTAGAGCCACAAAAGTAGCCTTGGCCTAAACGTAAGGCACTCACAGATTAGCAAGTGGAAGGCGTGGTAAAGGGATAATCCAACATCTCCACAAGTCACCACTGAGCTCTTCTCATCCTTTAGTCTATCAAAGATGCGCTTCAAAAACAGCCCCAGAGGGTGTAAACAAAGGCAGATTACAAACACTCTGAAGGATACTCTTTAGGGGTTAAAAAAAAATTTTTTTTTATTGTTTCTTGTGTTATAGAAAGTTAAACTCACTATCGGCCGGATCCCAAATTCAGAGACATTCCACTCTCCTGACTGTACCTGCCCAGGAAAACACCAGCAGGTTGCACCTTTTCATTGGGATAAACCTGATCTGGAAAAGGCACCAAAAAGAAGTCCAGCCATCAAGAAGGGCCAGCAGAAAGGAACCGGACAATAGCACACCAACGAGCTACCACAGCAGAGCAGGGACTGTAGACCAAAACTGTGGGCCAGGTTCATTCTATCACCGCCGTGTGTGATTCTGGTACACCTCTCTGAATTTCCCTACCTTCATCTTAACAATGGGACAACCACCCTCTCTCTGGCCAGTCAGGGAGGTTGAAAGGGTCAAGTGGGATAATAACTATGGAACACAGTGATGTAAGGCCTTATTATCTTGGACTTCGTTCGAAGCACAAGTGTAAACTGGATAAGTCCCTCTTCTAAAGGCACAGTATGTTCTGCTGAGGCCATCGTTCACACAACTGATTCTTTGTTAAGGAGCCAACAGTTGGAAATGCTCGTTCCAGGAAGTCAAATTCCCCAAGAGAGATGTGATACCTTATCGCCCTTCCCAAGCACCTCCTGCACCATCATCTCATGTCCACATTCTGAGTTACACAGAATAATTTCTTGGATTCAATATTTATCTTGTTCTTCTTAAGGATTCTTAGCCATCTCAGAATCTGAAGTAGTTTGTGGTCATTCCAGCAAAGATATGCTTCCCACATAAGTAATGAAAGAACTACTTAGCAATCCTAAATTTGAAAAGTCTTTAAATGTACTCATTTATTCTGGAAGGCTAAGAGAATCATTTTCCTCCCTCATAAATAGGAAAAAGGAGACCGAGATCCAAAGTACTAATAATATCAGGGAATGTCAGAGCAAAAGCAGGCTTCAGAAATCGTACTTCAGCATGTCCTCATTTTACACAAGAAGAAAGTAAGATCTTGAATGATGGATCATAAAGCTTTCTTGACGGCTCCTATTTTTTTAGCTATCCAGAGACAGAACCAAGAATCTAAAACTAGCTTTGAGAAACAGATGTCTTTGTGTTTGGATTAAGATTTTAAAAGACCTTCAGAACTTGAGGAGACACGCAAATACAGTTTGTTTTCTGTTACCAAGAAAATGCTTAAGTCATTTATGATATATTCATATAACTGAATCCTGTGCAGATGTTAAAATGCTCAGCATGTAAGGTTAGAGAATGTATGTTCACAGTGTAGTAATATATTTAATATATGTTCACAATGTATTAAGGTAAAAGAGGCAAGTTGTAGTTGTAGGAAGACAGTGTCCCATTTTTGTCAAAAGAAATTCTTGAGGTTTGTGTATATGTATATACGCACATAAAATTCTTCAGCTTCAATCTCTCATCAAGTTGGTGTGAGGTGTAAGCGGATGAGAAGCAGTGAGGCATTAAGCACTTTGCCTGATATGTAATAAACATTCAATAAATGTTATATGACCTCTATAGCTAAAGATACTTTTAGAAAGTTTCACTTTAAGTCTCTTTCATTGCTGTCGAGTCAGAAGCAACTCATAGTTGACCCTCCATTGGGTCTTGGGAACTATAAATCTCATGGAAGATGATTTCCTATCCTTCTGTTGTGGAGCTGTGGGTGGATTTGAACAGCCAGTGAGGCTCAGCCTTCGGTTAGCAACACCACTCTCTATGGACTGTTCCCCCAAAGCTCTCCATGTTCAAGTCTAGAAGAACATGTATCCAATTATAAATAGGGATCATCTCTGAGAAGTAGGATTGGAGTTAGTCACTGAGGCAGAGACATTTCTGTAACGTTTGTTTTTAAAAAACCCAACACAATGAGCAGATGCTACAATTATATTGGAAAAGAAAATGCAAATCTGGGAAGCAAACATTTGAAAATATGAAGTCTTCACAAGTTATAAATCAAACCTGCTCGGTGAGGGAAATAAAAAAAAAATCATCAAGGTACAATCATTTGGCAAACCAGAAAGTGTGGGCACATACACTGGGTCAGAGGCTCAAGGATGTTTGGTCCATTTTCCCCCAAAGGCTGCACTGCAGTGTCAGTAATGAAACCTAGGATGGAGATGAGGGAGCTGAGCTTCTGGGGCCTTCGTGTTCCTCATGGGCTGAAGAAGATCTGAGGCCTGAGTGATGGTGCCATCAGCTCAGTTCGTCTAGAAAGATGGGAAAGTTGTCACATAGGTTCTTTAACCTGACTGCACAAAGCTTCCCAATATAAGATTCTTGACTTCGATTGCTCATGTTGTAGCTGCTGTTTGCCATCAAATCAGAACTGACCCATAGCTGACCCTCCAGTGGGTTTTCAGAGGCAGTTAATCACACGGGAGGAGACGACCTATCCTTTTCACAGAAATCTGCTGGTGAATTTGAACAGCATACCCTTTGGGATTGCAGTGCAACTTCTTACCACCAGCGCTCCCTGCTGATTGCTCATGTTGTTGTGATGTGCTGTCAAGTTGTCTGCGACTCATAGTGACCATGTATATACAACAGCCCTAAACCTGCTCTATCCTGTGCCAATCTTACTGTCTCCGACACACCCACCCCCTTCCCCCCAGTCACTGAATCAATCCACCTCATAGAGGGTCTTCCTCTCCTGTGCTGTCCCTCCACCCTCCCAAGCAAGACGTCATGGTTGCCCAAATTTAGGATGATAGTAAAGATTGTCAATATAAGGTCCTTTAACTAAGTGATTAGCTAGCTGTAAGACTGTTACTCCAGGATCTAGACCTCAAACCAAGGACTATAAACTTCATTGAAGAAAAGCTTGGAAGAACTCTAGTAGTCCTAATCCACAAAATAAACAACTTTCCAAGTATCCTGAAAAATCTACAACCAGGAGAAGATAAAATAGATGAATGGGACCTGCTAAGAATCAAATCCCTATGCATATCCAAAAACTTCTCCAACAGGGTAAAAAGGGAAGCCACAGACTGGGAAAAAGTATTTAGGAATGACATGTCAGATAAGGGACTTATATCTAGAATTTATAAGATAAAGGTAAATAATACAATTGAAAAATGGGCACAGGATATGAACAGACACTTCACCAAAGAAGATATTCAGATGGCCAACAAGCACATGGAGAAATGTTCAAAATCCCTAGCTCTAAGAGCTGCAAATAAAAACAACTATGAGATATCATCTCACCCCAGAAAGAATAGCAAAATTTAAGAGAACAACAAGCAACAAATGCTGGTGAGGTTGTGGAGAAACTGGAACTCTTATTCACTGTTGGTGGGAGTGTAAAATGGTGCAACCACTGTGGAAAGCGGTGTGGCGCTTTCTCAAAAAGTTGCAAATAGAGAGAGCATTTGACCCAGCAATTCCACTACCGGGAATATATTCCAAAGAGACCATAACTGACATCCAAGCAGATATATGCACACCCATGTTTATCGCGGCTTTGTTCACAATAGCAAGGAGTTGGAAACAACCCAGCTGCCCATCAACAAATGAATGGATAGAGAAACTGTGGTATAGTCATACAATGGAATACTACGCTGCATTGAAAAACAAGGAACTCATGCAATACTATTCAAATGGGTGACCCTGGAGTACATTATTCTGAGTGAAACATCTCAGTCACAAAAGGACAAATACTGCATGGTGCCACTGCTGAAAGGTGGGACTGATATCAGGTTTGGGGTAAGATTGAGAGAAACTGGATAAATTGCGTATATTGCATTGAAACAGATGAGGGAAAGAATAATTTAAAAGCAATGAATGATAGGGTATTATGGTTATCACAAGAGTCCACAATTAAGGTTGCACAGTGGAGTGTACTTGGGGTGGTGGGAGGGATGCAGGGCAGTTGTATATCAAAGAAAGAATTTTTCTTTTACTTTTCAAAGAGAGGAGTGAACAGGGACGGGGGGCGGCAGGGGAGTGGGCTGGGCAGGGAGAAAAGTGCAACAATGAATGAATGGAAATCTAAAATCTCTATAACTGTTCATTAAAATTATTAAAATAAAATCTAAAGAAAGAAAAATAAAAGACTGTTACTCCAGGAACTAAGGATTTGCAATCAAGTCTTTCAGACATTAAAAAATGCTAAGAAATTACTGAAGGATGCACTATCAGCAAAGAAGCTTGCTGAGTACCTACACTGGATATCCAGCAAGGAATGAATGGCAGCCGTCACAGATGGAGAGGGACAGCATAGACAAACACCCATATCAGATCCCTAGACACTTCCCCCTCCAGACTCCTCCCACTTTCCTTCCCCTTCCCTACTCCCATTAGCCACACGGTGAAAAGGCCTGGCTTGATTCTGAGACGTCAGAAAACAGTTTTGGAGGCATTGCTTTCTCTCAGATCCTCAACATCTGAACAAAGTGCACGTAGAGTATTCAATCCTTGTCTCTACTCAGTTGGCTAATAGTCACAGGCAGCCCAAGTGCCTTCTGTGTCTGGTTACATGAGGGGCTGAACCATGTCCACAGCCCACAGCAGTGCCAGGACAAGAGTTCAGGACCCTGGGCTGTAATCCCATGGTTTTTCAGGTACACCACGACAACACTGTCAAGGCTCCCCGGCTCCCTCTGAAGACCAGGACTTCCTGCTACTTGTTTAAAGAACCTTGTTCCGGGGACTTCCCCCATATTCCCAGTTCATTCTAAAAGGAAGTCCCAGAAGATTCCAAAGTCCTCTTAACCTCAAGAATCTCACTTAGTAGATCTAGTGTGGGGTTCCAGAACCTGCCTTCCAATGAACACTCCCCTCACAGGTGACTGTAATGCAGGTCCCCTCACAGGTGATTCTAAGGCAGGGGAACCAGAGAGCACATGCTGTGAGACATCATCTAGGGGTGACACGGACAGGTACATGAATAGTTCAAAAGCAGAGAATTTACACGAGTGGGTTTTTGAGAAATGAGACCATAATTTCCCATAGATATTGGAAGAGGCCAATATGACTATCCATCGCTCTCCCCAAATGAGACTCTTGGTTTGAAGAGAGAAGGCTGGTGCTGACGCTGCTATTGTGGGAGGGTCACAGTCTGAGACCCGAGGAGGTGTGCTTCTGACGCTGTCATGGCCATTAGATGGCTGAGGAAAGCCTTTCGGCAGAGAAAGAACCTGGGAGGATTTAGATTCAGACAAATACACTTCAGCACAGCACTCTTTATCATCACAATGCCATTTCTCTGTGTCTTATTT